ATGAAGGGAGAAGCGACTGGAAGCAGTAGAAAACTTTCAAGGCACTAAATGGAGGACACAATGAAACCCAGTGAAATTTTGAAAAAGATGTTCAGGAAAGAGACTGGATAGAAGGAGGGAGAAGTCAGTTCAGGGGGGTGTAAGTGGCCCCACTTAAAAGGTACCTCAGTATTCAGTTCTTCAGGAATGTACAGTGAAAGGCAGTAGTCAGGACCCATAGACATGTTCAGGTTCCTGAATCCAAGTTAGAGAAAAGGAAATGTTGATATTTGGTCACTGTTGACTAAACTTTGAATTTGAATATTAATTAATTTATTCTTTAATTGCTTTATTGTGGAAGCCGAAAGAATCAGGGGCTTCTGCCTCTTCTGTGTGCCTATATTCCTTGCTTTTTTCCCCGCAAGTCTTATACAAATTCTTGTTCATCTGCTTTAGTGCTTTTATTACTCCTGATGTACTTATTGCTGGATAGCACACATAACCCTTAGGCATACATTAACTTGTCTTCAGCCTTCCCAGGTTTTCTTTCCTGCCAGTTCTTCTGTTACTTTAAATATTTATTTAATCTGTCCCGTACTCTGTCAGCCTACAATGTCATATGTGGAGACATCCCCTCTTAGTGCTTGATATTAAACCCAGTGTCTCGTACGTGTACTTTTTAGTCTTTCCTGTATAGCTGACTCCAGAATTGTGGTGTTTAGCTTCCCCGTCTGCCTTGCCAGCATTTCTTCTGAGCTCATTTGCATCCATACGGCTGTATTTTATTTGTTACCGCATTGCCAAGACTATTTTTTTGTGTGTTTTTTCTAAACATAAGTTCCCAGCGCTTCAGTCTGAGAAGTAAAGAAATCTCTTCCTTTATTGCCTAGTACTTTGCATGTTGAAGCCCCCGCAGAAGCGGGCAGCGGTATGAATTTCTTGAGACGCACAGCATCGTGCTGGGCATGTGCCACCCGTTGGCTTTTCTTTAACCCCAGCCCTGTTACTGCTCAGTGAGCCCTGGCTAATGCAGATGCTTAATTTCTCATCCCTATCTTCAAATAAATCCTTCCTTGTAAAACTGTTCTTGAAGACCTAGAGAGTGAAGGTTTCATGGGCTTTGTCTTCTGTGAAAGCCTGTACCAAATACGTGAGTCCTGTTCCGCTCTGCGTACTTCTTGGCTGGCCATGAGGGCTTTCGCTTACCCCTTTTCCGAGGGGAACACGTATTTGGCTAGGTAGCTCTCCTTCCCCCCTCGGTTGATAATACAGCCACCTGCCACCATGCATTTCGAGGATTAGCTGGTGTGAATTAGTTGACTTTATCTGTGGTAGCACATACTTCTTTTCTTCAGTTGTGTTTAAGGGATGCTTCCTGTTTAAGGAAACAGTGTTTAGAGAAAATCTTGTGAGATTTGCATAACTTGAATTACTGGAGCTCTGATAATGCAAACAACCACCTATCATGTACTTCGTAACCAAAAGAGTTTCAAACCAACTTGCAGTAATGCTTTAAAAAAAATAAAGTCTCGGCATCTCATAGCTGAAGTACTTCTTGTCATCTTACACAACTTGAATTTTAATTTTTAGTATTAGAATGCCACAAAAATGTCATTGGTGTAGTAGTAAAAATAGATTTTGCATATATTCTGAAATGTAGAGTGTGAGACATAAGCGAGAGAGAATTTCTCTGAGCAGGGAAAGAAACGTTTTTCTCAGTGGAGGATTGAGTGAAGAACAGAGGTCAATTTTAAAACCTTTCATTTTGTGTGATTACAGCCACGCTGCAAATGCCATTTCACTATAAGGGAGGGCTTTAACACATACCTTGCTTCTTGATTTGTGCTGCAGGTCAGATTAACTAAAATGGTTATTGTGTCACCCTAGAGATTCCTGCTTGCTGCAAGACCAGACTTTAAACCCTATTTTTATTATTAAAAAGGCCAGCAGCAACAAAGACTATTTTACAAGTTCTGAGACGTTTTCATAGCAATTTGATCTTTATACACAGGTTTTTTGAATTCTTTGTACTGCGATTCTTAGCATATGTAAAAACTGGAGAGGGGGAAGAAGTATGAACATTCATTTGCCTCTTGCCTGGAGACTGTCCCCTCCAATGCCCTTCTTGAATTTTGAACAGGGCATGTGTGGGACTCCTCTGTTGTGGTGGCACAGCAGCATCCTTCAGCAGATGCTCCCCTGCTCCTCTCGAATTACTATTGCATGCTTCTGTCTTCAAGGAGAGAAATAAATCATCTGTTTTCAAGATACAAACCTATTTGTATCCTATTTTAGTCAAAGACATCA